GAAAATAAAATTAAAGCATATATTTCCCACAAAACATTCTCTTCAAATCTGAGACAAAATACTGAAAGTGAAGGAATTTAAATAACAGAAAGATTTGCCTTGTAAATTTATCTATCTAAGAAGTAGGTGGGGCCAGGCTAGAGAGATTGCTTAGTGGTTAAGAGTACTTGAGGCTCTTAACCAAGGACCTGGGTTTAATTCATAGCACCCACATGGTAGTTCACAGCTGCTTGTGACTCAAAATCCAGGGATCCAATGCTGTCTTCTGATTCCAGGTGTACCAGGCATGCATGTGATGCATAAACAGACAGACAGACAAAAAATACATAAAAATTTTAAAAATGAAGGGGATGGGAAGAATTCTTGAGGCAAGTAAGAGAAGGGGCAAGGAATTTAGGAGGTAAACCTACTTATTCCTATCTCTCTCTTTGCTTTCCTTCCAGGTTTGCCTCTCACTCCTTCCAGAAATCAGAAAGCAAAACCTTGGATGACAGTGTCATGCATAAGGAATTATGGAGATCTGGAATAAGGAACCAAGAATGCATGTTAGCATGGCAGGCTGCTTGTAGTTAAGTCTGGAATCCAGAGAAAGAAGATGCCGGAGCAAACTGAATTGTAAGACTACCTGCATCAGCAAGCTCTGAGTTTGATTTAGGACCCTCTGCTGTTTGAATGAGAATGCTGCCCCCCCCACCCCCCGCCACACACACACTTACTCTCATGTATTTGTATGTTTGTTCCACACTAGGCTGAACAATTTTGGAAGGATAGGAGATATGACCTTGTTGGAGAAGGTTTGTCACTGAAGGTGGGCTTCGGGGTTTGAAAAGCTTGCACCATTCCTAGTTAACTCTCTCTCTGTCTTGTGCCTATGGATCAGATGGAAGATTTCAATGACTGCTCCAGCTTCAGGCCTGTCTACCTGCTGCCATGTTCCCTGCCATGGTGATCATAAACTCTAACCCTCTGAAAACCTGAACCCCCAAGTTAAATACTTTCTGTTATTGATGCCTTGATCATGGTGTCTTGCCATGCAATTGAAAAGTAACTAAGACAGACCCTATGTGAAAGAAAGAATATCTTTGTGCTACTACCCACATGGACACACATGTACATGTTCTCTCAAAACATATGTCTGTACAGAGATAAACCTGTATACACACATTAATGAACACTATGCCTATACATACATATGAAAAGAAAAAATGAAAAAGCCAGGATGACTTGTCACCTTCTGATTCGTACTATCAGTGAACACATGGCCATCTATGCTGGATGGCAGATACCCATTGTGGAGTATGCAGAATCAGAGAGGACAGATCTACCTCTCCAAATTTAGCTTTGTGGTCCTTAACAACTGTGTGCTGTCAGCCAGTGTGCACCTCTTGTGACCACACCCTGCCCTTGCCTGTGAAGCCAAAGTAGGTAGAGCAATCTCATAGATATGGTGCAACTCTCTCCCATTCTGCACATCCTGGTCCTGGCTGGGCCTCTTCTTCCTGTACCCCTGAATAAAGTTGTCAATTTCACCAGTCAGCTGAACTAAAACTACCAGCAATGATGGATTTAAATGGAACATATTTATGATGTGACAGAAATTCAATAAAGATAACAAAATGATGAAAAATGAAGTGGTAACCATACCTTTAATCCTGGCTTATTGTTTTGTTTTGTTTTGATTTTCATCTTTGAGGTTTTGTAATTTTTTTGGTTCCTGGTTTAATTTGTTTCTTTTTTTAAAGAGAGAGGAAAACAAATGCTTAATGCGTAGGGAGTTGTGGGCTATTTGGAATGTTTGGGAGGTATCCCAAGATGAGAAGTTAGGCAGGATAACTTGTGCCTGAAGGGGTCAGAACCCACGGTAGGGGTCAGGTATGGGGTGCATTGTCCTCCTAGATCCAGTTCTGGTCTAGGCTGGCAGCGAGCATGTGGGGAGGCTGTGCAGAGCGGGTGCAGGGCAGCCTGACAGCTGGAGCTGTTGTGGAAGGCAGCCTGAGACCGAGTGGGAGGGACGGGTCCATATGGGGTGGAGACACCTCTTATGCAGAGGAGTTTAGGGAGAGAGAGAGAAAAAAAAAGCCATCACAGGACTTGAGAAACTAAATAAGAAAAAGAGTCCGTGGTAAGCGGATTTAGAGGAAGCAGGTAACTGGAAGCGGAGGTGCATTGGGCAGAGCCAGAAGGAGCTGAAGAGACAGGAAATTACACCATTCTGTGTCGGACACCAAGAGCCCGGTGATCCAGAACTGGTCTTCAGGACCTGAAAACTCCAGAGCCTGTGTTGCCGCGGGGGTGGGTTGGGGGCCTGGGAAAGTCACCAGTATTCAAGGAGGCTGCTCAGAAGGACACAGCTCTCAAAATTCTGTGGTGGACATCTTTCCTTTGTTTGAGGTCCTATGAAGTGGGTCTTATCTTGTTTTGTTCAGTTATCTTACTGTTCCCAGATATTGTTTTAAAATAATTCATGAAATAATCTCGTAGAGCATTTGCATTATCTCTTGTTTGCAAACAGGGTTCTCTTTGTTATTGTGTCAATTACAAAGCTCCCGGAAATTAAATTCATCCATGCTTTCTAACTCCCCCATTTTACCACATGCCTAATCAAGAGAGCAGCCTTTGCCTTGTGAGACCAAAATGAGCCATCCTAGAAACAAGACCAAAATTCTTTCACCCTAAATTTAAGGCCTAAAATTTCTCCTTTTAGGAATAGGCCATTAGTTACTGAAACCAGTCAGTTCAGATTCCAGAAACCAGGAAGTGTAAAAGTACAGAGTCATAAGGTAGTCACGAGGTAATGCCTGCCAGACTATGGAATGTCCTCTCCCTGGTTTCCAGGGTAACTGACCACAGAAATGTCCCCACCTGAGGGCAGCCAATGAGAAATGGTGGCGGGCAACCACTCCCTTAGAAGTAATTTCTAGAAGTCCCTAGAAGCGAGCCAATCAGAATTGTACCCGTACTAGCACCCCTAAATGATGTAACCCTGTAATTTTTCCCTTTAAAAACTGAGCTTGCAGATAGATGGGCACTTCCTCCAGCCTCCACTGCGTTGGATGTATTGGACGAAGTCCTTTCCTAGGCTTGTATTGCTTTTGGATATCCAGAATTAAACCTTGCTTTTGCATTCCAGCATGCTGGTCTTTGGTAGTCTCTCTGGGGGTCTCAATCTGGGCACAACAGCCTCTGAGAGTAGGCATCCTCAGACAGCTTTGTAGATAGTAATCACATGAGGAACCCGTGCAGGTATGATTGAATCAGCAAATATATTTTATGGAGTACTACAGATATGGTTGTAAACCTTTTCCTCCACATTAATTTTCCATGTGAGATGTATGCAGTCTGGGCTGTAAATACAGCATTCAGAAATGTGTCTTCATATGCTGTATTCTTATGTTACACCTTAGGTCCAAGCAAGCCCTTATCTGCCTCTCAGAATGGCCCTTGCCCCTGAATCTAGGCATTTCTAGAGAGCTTTGTAGATAGTAATCACATGAGGAACCAATGAGAAATGATTAAACAGAAAATGTTTTATACAGTGCTAGAGATATGCTTCTAAGCATTAGGCAAACTTTTGCTCCCCATTAATTTTCCATCTGAGATCTATGCTTTCTAGAGGATGTAAATACAGCATTCAGTAATGTGTCTTCATATGCTGTGTTCTTATGTTACACCTTAGGCCCAGGCAAGTGCAGTATGCATGCTGTGAGCATATAACAGGGCAAATTATTTTATAGTTAGTAAATGCACTTTAAACAAAATTATAAAGCATCTTTTGAATATTTATGATCACTCATCTGTATCAGAAAAATATCTCTTTCCTTGAAGAAAAGCATTCTGCCCATGCACATGTGACCAAACTTACTTTTTTTTTTTTTTTTTTTTTTAATTTCAGGGTCTGTTGACATTCAGTGCTGTGATTGTGGACTTCTTGTAGGAGGAGTGGGAATGCCTAGACCCTGCTCACTGGGCCTTTGGCAGAGATCTCCTGTTGGAGAACTGCAGCAGTCTAGATTCTAAGGGTGAGAATAGTTTTCTGGAGTCTCCCTTGTTTCTGCTCAGGGTTCCTGGGAAAACTACTCTGCATGGGTGTGAGCTGTGTGTGAATGAGTCTCATATCTCACAGGGTAAAATGAAATGCTTAGAGAAAGAGACATTTTTGCTGATATTTTCTCTTTCCTGTTTTTTTCCTCTTGGCAGGTGTTAAAAACAC